ATAAAATCAATTTTTAGCAGTTCTGAACTCAAGAACCTCTCAGAATTATTGGCAGCTGCTGAAGTGAAACCTTAATTTATACTGAGCGTGCACACCACAACAAGCATCATGCTGCAAGCCTTCAGTGTTTGTGTGTGGGGTGGATAACTGTACTAAATCTCTTATAAATGTTTAGGATGAACACTGGCCTGCAAAAGCTAAAAGAGGCATCAGAATCAGTGGGAGCTCTTAGCAAAGAGCTGGAAGAGAAAGAGAAAGAGCTACAGGTCGCCAATGAAAAGGCCGACATGGTAAGAAGACTTGTTTTTCGCATCTCTTTGTTTCTGTTATGGTGGTTCAAAGGAAATAATTTATGTAAATATATTACATAACAAATTCTCATTTTCTTTTTTGGATAATTTTAACACAAATCTATTAAATAAACCTTACATGATCTAAATTAATTCATACAATGAAGCTTATTTATTTAAAATACATAACTGTCAGGTATTTTAAATTAGTAAAGTATTCTAACTTAAAATATATACCAAGGAGTGTGTTTATCTCAGATAAATAAAGGTATTTTTTCTAATTGCTAAAGATAACCTAATAATTATGCAAATAAATACAATTTATCTATTTGAAATCAATACACTTAATATCATTTTGATCAAGTATACTAAATTAAATCAAAATACATCAATTAATCCAATCAATCCACTATACTTACATTGTACATTTAACAAGAAAACATTTTTTTCCAATATGCTGTACATAAAAACAAACATAAAACCCAACACACACACACACAGAAAAAAAGTAGTAATGCTATGTTCAGACCGCACTCTGCTGGAGCAGCAGAAGCAGTTGGTTTACATGCAAAGGTAATGGTTGATGCGCATCAAGGCACATCAAAAGGTCCTGCAGCACGTCTAGAGCAGCAGGTGCAGCGCGTCTTGACACATCCAAGCTGCTGAAGCAGCGCCTCATGTGAGTTTCTGAGCATCTGAGGCGTGTGACGCACTTCAAAAGCAGCAGCTGTTGGATTTGGAAAAATTGAATTTTTGCTGCTCGTGTAAAGTCATGGGACGGCCATTTCCCTACGACTTTAAAATACATAAACCTGACAGTTATGTATTTTAACCAAGTAAGCTATGTTAAATGAATGAATATGCATCAAGTAAGATTTATTTAATGTTTGTGCTAAACCTATCCAAAAAGGTCAATGGGAATTTGTTAGTTAACAAAAATGAGTGTATGTTTATCAGTAGTGAAATCCATATTATTGGTCTACATAAATAAATAAATGTATCTATTGACCTTGTTGTGCTCTTATCCTATATAAAAAAACATACTTCAACGTAACAGTCAAAATCAGAAGGTCTCATGATCGGATTGATGTTCATTTTAGCTTTGATAGACACATTCGGATGATGATACAACATAAGATTTAATGGATTTTTAAAACTAGAATTCAGAACGCAAGTTTGAATTTGATTTATTTTTCTCAATAGACAAGAACAACTTGTGGTGAAACTGTTGTATATCTTTCAGCATGCTTCTGTCATAATTTTGACTGAATATTTGACCAGTCTTCCTTTCAGAAATACAAAAAGCTATCTTACATTTGTTGGGTCTTTTACACAGAACTGACTTTTAAGAATATTTTTGAAATGTCCATCTAGTGTGATTGTTTCTCCAGAAGCATTCTTCATTTAAACCCGCTTCTTCCATTCTAAAACCAGTTCTAATATTACTGAGAAAGTAAAAACTAAAATTTGTCTGTGTTTATAATATCTTACTTAAATCATCTCTGCCAGGTGAAAGATAATTGGTTATAAACAACCTACAGTGATTAGAGTTAATTTAGTTTATGTTCAGCATAGTCTGAAAAGGTAGTGAGAGTACAGACTGAGAAAGAGGCCACTGCTTCAAATATTACATCCTCAATCATGACTATAATTAGCAATTCATGCAGAGAAGTGTCATGATCAGAAGAGAGAGAGATCAAAGCTACGTGGCCAAAATGACACGCAGAATCAAAGTAAAACCTAAAATCTAAGATAACTGTACCAGCTGTCAGTTATGCTCATTAAAATATCGTGCTAAAGGTTTGTTTTGTGGATAATTAGCAAGTTAAAGGACTAATGATGCAGGAGGAGCCCTTTACAATATTCAACTGCTCCTCAAATCAACATTCCCGTGGTTAGAATTCAAACACAAATAGGTGTTCCGATGGGAAAATTGACCAAAAATGATCAAAACTGGTTTTGCAGTGGAAACTATTAAGCCTCTGAAATGATCCCAACAATTTTAAAACGTAACAGACTGTTGAAGACCCAGGTCTGTGTCTGCTACTAGTTTTTACTTGGTGTGTAGTCTAATACCCAGACAGGGTTACATTGAAAGTAAAAAAAAAAAAGGGTTTATTTGCTTGGAACTTTTATCCTTTGAAACTATGGATACTTTAGGCTGAGTGGATTAGAGATAGGACGTGTTAAATTCAAACATATGTACCCATTCTTGTTCTTACCATAACAAATGTCTTGTCAGACCACCCAGAAAAAGAGGATCTAAGAAGCTTAAAATTGACAAATCATGCCAATGTCAAATATTTTTAAACCTCTGATGAGAAATGTAAACATTTGACACACATTTACACCTTTATGTCAAATGTTACTCTGTTAAAATAAATGTAAAACCAAAAAACATGAAATCAAAACATGTCACAATGGTACACAATATCCTGTGTTCAGTTATGGCAAACGATTTTATTTCTCCCTGCTGTGTAGCTTAAAATAAACACCATGAGACCTCATGAGCATGATTCATTTCTCTTTCAGGTTCTCAAAGAGGTGACTGTAAAAGCTCAAGCGGCAGAACAGGTAAAGGTCGAGGTACAGAAAGTAAAAGACACGGCTCAGGCCATAGTGGACAACATTTCAGCTGACAAGGCCATAGCCGAGGCGAAGCTGGAAGCAGCACGGCCAGCACTTGAAGAAGCAGCAGCTGCACTTAAAGTAAGACGCTCGTTAATTTAATAATCTTAAGCATACATATGTATATTCAGCAGCTTTGGTTGAGCTCTTGTTATCCTTTGGAGGACAGAGTTTATTTTGTTTAACTGTCTAAAGAATGAAGTTTAAAAAATGCTCTATGGGACCACCTTGGCATGGTCAAAAATGATTACCTGAAAGTAAATTTTCTCACTTTTACAATTCCCTGGATCAGTTCACAAGACCTTATTGTTAAAAGGAACAAGGAATGTGTATCTTACAATGGGTGCTGCTATTACTGTTAGTTCAGGATCCTTTTCTGACTTACTGTAAGTTTTTTTTTTTTTTTTTCCGTAAACGGCTGAGTTTTTATTACAGTTTATAATGACATCAAATAATCTTTGTACTATATAGTAATTCGTTGATACGTTGCAGTTATTCCACTGAGACAGTGTACTTTGGGAAAG